TTGATGTACACTCAAGTGTACTAAATGGGGATTTCGTCATATTCTTCATGGAACTGGCTTCTGTAGGATGCTAACATGTTTCATGTCGACGCCTTCGGTCACAGTTGTTTATAGGATATTTAAATCAGAAATCATCAGGTTGTCAAGGCGTTAGAAACAGCAGTCAAAAAGGGTAGGGGAGGTGGATAATTAGCTGTCAGCGGATTCAATTGATCTGGTGCTCGATACGTCTTCTTCCTTGTCCGAGATATTTAAGTCAGTTACCCACACGACATTTTTATTTCACATCGTCTGAGAGCTGATTTCTCTTGAAGACTCCAGTTCGACTGACCAAACTATTACGCACATTTTTGCCCTTCAGAGGAAGTATCCCTTTATGAGTCAACTATCGCTCGAAACAGAAGCTCAGTGGATAGACACTGCAGCCGTGTCCTCAGATAATCTTACTGCCTATGTGGCACAGACTCTCGGCAGCAGTAAAATGCCATCGCCAGCCACGGAACCTCCTCTTCCGGTAACCGCGACACCACCAGAAGAAATTGTTGACACCTCTGGACTAACCTCCTCTACCAACGTCGTCCTTCTTCCACCTGGTCCGGTTGTTCAGCTTCCCGACTGCAGATGTCAGAATCTTTTACCACCCAATGCAGCAACTCTGCAGGCCTTCAAAACCCTCCTTGTTTGGGCGTCGAAGATGCCGAAGGATACGGAACAGTTACCGGAACTCTTTTTACGCAATCGGTTGGTTGTACTTCCACTGTCAGCTATTTTGTCTTATTTGAAATGTACGTTTTTTACAACCAGTCAAAAGCATTCTCAGTTCATAGACGGTCTGAGTCGATGCGTAATCCTAGCCAAACCGCTAGGCATACATTGGACAATAAATTAGGTCCACTTTCGGGAGCATTTGTTTTTATAAATGCTAAGTATGCTATTGTCTCCTGTGTAATCGCCACCCTAAACGTTGCTGTAGATTCCATTTGAGCAAGGGCATCTGCACTTGTTCACATTTAATCACTTTTATATGGCTTTTACAAGTGAAATTGATACTTTATTTACAATCAAAATATTGACCCAAGTCTTTGCCCTGCTTTCCATTTTATTTAAGCAAGAATCTGGAACCAACATCATCTCTGAGCGAAGGAAGCGTTCTTCTGCCCGCCCCGAAACGTACGTTAATGTATTGCCTTTTGGATTTTAAGCCTCGGCCTTTCGCTAAGGCAAGAAAATTTACTAAATTTTGCTTCTCGGTTTATTCTTCATCTCATAGGGGTCGCGGTAGCCTCTGGGAGGTCGATTGGAGTTAGCACGTCCCTCATTTATCCCATTGTCCATTTGTCTTTCCCTTGTAGATGTAAATTCTATTTTTATTGTATACACTGGAGCGTGTTACACCTGGTATGATTTCTAAGAGACTCAAAACTGGGTCTTTTCTGCAAATGAGC